GCTGTTAAATGCACAAAACAGAAAAAACAGGGAAAAACATCTTTACTCACTCTCAAATGTAGTAATCTTATGTTAATAGTCAGTTTAGCAGGGTCTAGCCTGACCACTCTTTCAAACTGAGACAGAAAAAAAAGTAAAATTCTGGGCACTAGGACGTACAGATTTGGAATGAGTTCTTCGTTCATCATTAAAATGAAGGCAATGAACTCAAGATGATATGCACAATGCAAATGTCTGAACCTGCAGCAGCAGTGTATGGGTTTATTTATAGAATGTCTGCCAACCTGCTCTACAAGAGCCAACTGTGAGCTACAGGAGCTCAACCGATTCAGAGTTTTCTTCAGAAAGAAAGAGATGTGATTAAGAGCTTGTGTGTGTTAAAAACACAGGAGATATTCATTACAAAGGCATAATTGGTTTTACATTAATGACAGACTAGAGAGGCCAAAACTCACACAGAGGGACTTAATTCTTCTAGAATTCAAGTTTTATGAATAGGACTGGTTATTAACCAGGGTATTTATTGGTTCAAGGCAATAATAGAAACTCATTATACCTTTTTGAGAAGGAACAATTCTACTTTTGCATAGTTTCCAAGTGAATCACAAGAATTTGGAATTGGTCGTCAGGATCATAATTAACCAGGAAAAAAAATAAAGAAATAGTGTTCCAAATTGAGATTCAGGACTTTCTTTTTAGTGCTATAGATGCCTGAAAACCTTTTCATAGTAAAACTCCCACTCAAATCTTTTGGGGTTGCAAACTAATCCAAACATTAATTTGCATAACTGGATTTTGCTTTCTAGTCCCCACAGAGTGTGCACATGCACATATAGACACCTCAAATCTCAAAACAAACTTCTCTCTTTTAAAGATTAGTGAGGTCTAGTGGACAGGACAATAAACAGGAAGTCAGAAGACTGGGTCTATTCCCAGTTCTACCACTAACCTGTTATCCAACCATGGCTGTCTTCACAGCAACAACAAAAAAAAGGGTGGAGGTGTTTACTCTGAGATAGCTAACTGAGTCAGCTGTCTCAATATAAAATCTTGGTGCAGACCAGGCTAGTTTTTACCCTAAAGTAACAAGTTGAGGTCAATCCCAGGTCAGGGCATAGGGCAAACCTCTACTGGCTACATCAAGGTAAAAGTTATCTGTGCTTTGTCTCCACTGGGATTTTACTGAGAAATAGCTATCTTGATGTAAAACTGTCTTTGTCCAGTATCAGGGGGTAGCCGTGTTAGTCTGTATCCACAGAAACAACAAGGAGACCAGTGGCACCTTAAAGACTAACAAATATATTTGGGCATAAGATTTTGTAGGTAAAAAACCACTTAAGATGGCCACACTGGGATTGCAAAACTGGATGGAGGGCCGGGTAGGGAAGGCTGTGCTTTCCCAAACAGCCTCGCCCCCGCCTCCTATCCGCCCCCTCCCTGCCCCCCCTCAGAACCCCCGACCCATCCAACGCCCCCCTGCTCCTTGTCCCCTAACTGCCCCCTCCCAGGACCCCCGCCCCTAACTACCCCCTGGGACCAAACCCCCTATCCAACCCCCCTGCTCCCAGTCCCCTGACTGCCCTGACCCCATCCACACCCCCACCCCCTGACAGGCACCCTGGGACCCCATGCCTATCCAACCCCCCATTCCCTGTCCCCTGACCACCCCCTCCCACACCTCCACCCCATTCAACCACCCCTTGCTCACTGTCCCCTGACTGCTCCCTGGGCCCCCCCCCACCCCTTATACAACACTCCAGCCCCGGCCCACTTACCACGCCGAGCAGAGCATGCAGAGCAGCATGTCTGGCTGCCGCGCTGGCTGGAGCCAGACACGCTGCAACTCTGCTCGACAGAAGCGTGCAGCTCCGCCACCCAGAGCGCTACCCGTGAGGCAGCGTGGCTCTGCAGGGGAGGGACAGCAGGGGAGGGGCCGGGGGCTAGCCTCCCCGGCCGGGAGCTCAGGAGCCAGGCAGGACAGTCCCACAGGCTGTAGTTTGCCCACCTCTGCCTTAGACTCTCTGTGCTTGTCTTCACCAGACATTTACCACCTTGCATTAACTGCCTGCGGGTATGTCTTCACTGCAGTTGGCCCAGGCATTTACATGGGTGCTGCCCAATCCCCTCCTAACAACATACAGAATCCTGCCTCCCAGAGTTTGGTGGTGCTTTCAATCCAGGCTAGCTGGCACAGCTGGAAGTATGAGTAAGAATCTGGGTTCCGTTTTCATTCAGGCTGGTAGCTCACCCACTTTGCAGGGAGGACTAACTCATCTGAGCGCTGACAGTCCTCTGATGCCTTCCCACAATTCCCTCCAAAGGGCAGACAAATTCTCCCACAATCCACTGGGACAGAATCAGACAGGCTCAGCATATTACAGCACAAAGAACCATGTGGCATGGCCCCAGAAGTCCTAGTGATACACCCAGGTGAGTGCAGCAGTAGGGAGGGCACAGTAACTTGGGTATGGCTTTGCACTGTGGTTGCTCACACCCAGGTTAAGCTAACCAGGGTGCTAATCAACTTAATTAACTATGCATATCCCAAAGGTTGCAAGGAGGAGGAAGAAAAATTGTTCTTCTTAACCTGTGAGGCTAGGACAAGAAGCAATGGACTTAAATTGCAGCAAGAGTGGTTTAGGTTGGACGAGAAGCTGGATATGAGTCAGCAGTGTTCCCTCGTTGCCAAGAAGGCCAACGGCATATTGGGCTGTATTAATAGGAGCATTGCCAGCAGATTGAGGGAAGTGATTATTCCCCTCTCTTCAGCACCTGGAGTATTGCGTCCAGTTCTGGTCCCTCCCACTACAGAAGGGATGTGGACAAATTGGAGAGAGTCCAGTGGAGGGCAACAAAAATGATTAGGGGACTGGGGCACATGACTTACGAGGAGAGGCTGAAGGAACTGGGATTAATTAGTCTGCAAAAGAGAAGAGTGAGGGGGGATTTGATAGCAGCCTTCAACTACCTGAAGGGGGGTTTCAAAGAGGATGGAGCTAGGCTGTTCTCAGTGGTAGCAGATGACAGAACAAGGAACAATGGTCTCAAGTTGCAGTGCGGAAGGTCTAGGTTGGATATTAGGAAACACTATTTCACTAGGAGGGTGGTGAAGCACTGGAACAGGTTACCTAGGGAGGTGGTGGAATCTCCATCCTTAGAGGTTTTTAAGGCCCGACTTGAGAAAGCCTTGGCTGGGATGATTTAGTTGGTGTTGGTCCTGCTTTGAGCAGGGGATTGCACTAGATGACCTCCTGAGGTCTCTTCCAACCCTAATATTCTATGATTAGGAAAAACTTCCTGTCAGGGTGGTTAAGCACTGGAATAAATTGCCTAGGGAGGTTGTGGAACCTCCATCATTAGCAATTTTTAAGAGTAGGTTAACAAACACCTGTCAGGGATGGTCTAGATCCAGTCCTATGATTCTATGAATTACCTGAGGCCAGTGTTTCTCACCCTTTCAGGCTAGTCGCCCCTTATTTGGGGGTGGGGGTGTTTACAACCCCTATTATTAATTTACTGTAAGAGTAAAAATGCATTGATGCTTAGAAGACTAAACATAAATAATGTTTGGGGAGGGAGGTATACTGGACCCTGAAAGATGTGCCAGGAGTGGGGGAGCAAGATTTCCTTTGCATTAGACTGCAATAATATTTTCAATAATTTTCCCGATGGTCACACCAGTTGAGAAATGTTGCCCTTTGTTGATCCTTAAGAGTAGAGTTCCTAGCTTCTGTTTGCCAGAAGCTGGGAATGGGCGACCAGGGATGGATCACTTGATGATTCCCTCTTCTGTTCATTCCCTCTGAAACATCTGGCATTGGCCACTGTCAGAAGACAGGATACTCGGCTAGACGGACCACTGGTCTGATCCAGTATGGCCGTTCTCAAGAACAAATTTTGTAAGTTGTAATACTCATGTGGCATATCGTAGCCAGACTTCTGAAAGGGTCTGACATAGACATATCCATTGTCTGACTTTTCTAATTATACTGTAAGCTTATTGAGGCAGGGATTGTCTATTACTATGTCTGTACAGTACTAAAATAATGGCTCCCGGTTTTGGTTGGGGACTGGAGGCACTAGTATAATACAAAAGAATTACCAGGATGGCCTCACCAAGCCCTATATAAACCTGAGTTAAGTGTCCCTTGAGCGCCAGAAAGGTTACAAGGACCGGCCATGCCAGGTGTAACAGAGAGGCTGCAGAGTTTAGTAGTTTACTTTTGTGAATGTACTCTTGAGACAGGAAAGAAAAACAGAGACTCTGTGCTTACAGGGGACAGGCTAGAAAACCATGCAGGGGCAGTCAACAGGTGGACCGTGGGCCAAATCCGGACCACCAGACACTTTTGAACAGACCCTGAAATCTTTTCATTTACTTATTTTTTACTTATTTTTTTCCCTGGAGTCTGGAAATTTGGACCCTGCCAAAAAATAATTGACTCCCCCGATCTACAGCGACCCTGCACCTACAATAAACAAGGATACAGGGCGGTGTGCAGAGGAAGATGCAGCAAGACTCTGGGGTGGCCTAGGCTGGGAAACTAGTACGGTTTTAGGACATCTGGTGAGGACCATCTGCCCCTCGAAGCCCCCTGTTGTGCACCAAGCCGCCAGCACCAGGGGGTAGCAGTAGCAGCAGGCCATGGCCCACCCCAGGGTTGCCTATAGCCAGGCGCGGCCGGGCAGCGCCCCCGACACCGCAGCGCCCCGCACTCGCTGGGTTCCCCGGCCCTGCCCGGCAGGGCGCCCCGCGGCGGGGTCCCGGCCGGGGCGCGCGGCTCTGGCTGCCCCGCGTGGCGCAGGGAACGGGCCCCTCCCGGGGCCAGGCAGCGCCAAGCCCGCGGGGGAGACCCGGGCGGATCCGCCACCGCCGGGGCGGGCAGCGGGCACTGGCCCAAGGCCACTCGAGGAACCCAGGAGTCCGGGTCTCCACTCACCCACCCTCCCTCCGCGCATGGTGGGGGGCCAGCGCGCGCCCCGCTCCCCCAGTCACTCACAGGCCGCAGGCTCCCCACGCCCCCGGCTCGATCCCCAGCACGCATGCGCAAAAGGGGAGCGAGGGGAACGATCCGATCGCCCGAGGGGGAGGGGGCGCATGCGCATCAGCCTCTGGAACGTAGCACTGAAATAGCCCCTCCCACCACCACCTGTGCAGGGATAGGCCACGCCCCCTCGCTCCTTGTCTCCTCCTCCTCCTGTTCCTTGTTCTTCCAGCTGAGCCAGGCAGTGGCTGGAGACTTAGCTGGTGTGGGGCTGGGGCGCCTTCCGTGTGTGAGTGCGGTGCTGCCCTCCCTGCTTCGGAGGGGCCAGCTGGAGCCCTTGGGGAGTCCAGCAGAAGGAGTGGGGAGCCGGTCCGTGTCTGACACTGGGGTAAGTGAGTAGCCTGGCATACATTGCATTGCAATGGCTCGTTCCCTCCGCCCCCCGCCTTTCTCCCCTCTGCAGCAGCAGCTAAAAGGACCTGTCTCCAAGGCAGCCTGGAAATGTGAATGTCTCCCTCTGTGTGTGTGCATCTCTCTAGCCCGTGGGAACGGCTCTCTCCTTCCCCGCTCCAGTATCGGTTTCCAATAGATTTGTGGGTGTGCGTGTCGCTTAGCCTGCCTGCCTCTGGAACAATGGAAGCGGAATTGCTAGGGAGGTGGCTCCTGCAAATGCCCCATTTGCCTCTTGTGTGATTTCCCCCCCACACACACACACACATTCCCCTTTACGGAGCCCAGCAGGGGATACAGGGTATCCAGGGCTGCCCGCTGACACACACTAGCCTCATCGCAATAAACACAATGACTCATTCACCATTTTTGTAGCGATTTTTGTTTCTTGTTTTACCTGGCCCAGCTCTGTCTCCTTGCCGTTCCCTGACTCTCCCCCAATGTCAGAAGCAAATCGCCAAGGAGGAAACGTTGTATTTTCATGCTATTGACGCTGGATGTTAAGATTGATCCAGGTTTCACTGTCAGGTTTTGTGTGTGTGTGTGTGAATCAAGATGGCAAGAGGAGGCTGAGTGCTTCTTTGTTGTTCTCCCCTTTTGGTGGGGTGGGGTAGCGTGATGTGATGTTGGTTCATGGTGCTGCAGTCTCCTTCTCCCTGACGGAAGGTGTAGTTGAGGGGAGTTACTTCATGCTATAATCCCACTCCAGAGCGGCTCTTCTTTGGAGATGGCTCTGCAGCAGCCCTTCAAACTGCAACAGTATTCCTGGGAGAGAGGCCTGGAAGATCCAGGGCTTTGGAGGCAAAATCCACCATCATCCTCCTCAGTCAAAGTTGAATCCACCCTGCATCTTCAGGGAGATAAAGAACTTCCTTGCTTCTGTCCAGTAGCTCGTTGTCTGTCAATCAGCCTGATCCTTTTAATGGTGCCGGACTGAAAAGGCTCTAAGGCAATGTGAGTGCAGCTAACAAACAGCTGAGATCTCTGTCAGAGACCTGACTCAGAGGCACCAGAGATGCTTTCCTCTGTCTGGTTTGGACTCTATGGGGCAACTATTCTTCTCAGCCCAAGCAAGGGTGCAAGGAAATTATTGTACAGTTAAGCTAGATTACACCTGCTAAACCCTTTATCTGCTGCATACTGATCTCAGCTATTTACTTGCTTACTTCTTCTCCCCACCCCTTTTCTCTTCTCTCCTTTCACTAGTGCTTCATCACCACCACCTCCTCCTCACTTTCTTCCAGGGTGTGTTTCTCCTGCTGCTCTGCTATAAATAAAAAGTTGGCTTAAAAGCAAAGGAGGCAACCAGGCGAGCTGGGGTGTGAATCCTGAGCTGCTGCCATTCCTGTTTGTTGTGACTTGAGAACTGTGCATTTTAACCTCCCTCCTTCCATTAATGACAGCAACATTATCTAATTTTATTCCAAGTCATGGTGTGCTAATGTGGGTCATCATCTCATGGTGTTGACCTGCTCTCCCCCCCAGGGATGAATGAGCTAATGTTAAGCCATGTACACTACCAGATATATGCACAGTATTATGTATTATTAAATGGCGTGGAGTTGAAACCCAGCTTTGTTCAGATTTGTCATTCTGGATGCAATTTATTCTTTTGACATTTTAAACAAAATACTAAAAAACTTGAATTTGTAGTGAGCAATAAAAAAAGTATTTAGGGGTCATCTCATGGCTCTTCTGGCCACACAGTATTGGAAAATGGCTTAATATTTTTCAAACGAAATTTTTGACGCTGGAGTATAACATAACCTACATGTGTATGGCCTTTTTGAAAGATAAGGGGGAGGTGTGAATGAGGAAGGGGGAGCTGTTGAAGACTGGGAGGGGCATGAATGGAGCATCCAAGAGCCTTGTGGGGCTCTTGGAACTTTGATGTGATTGGCTGTCAGTTTTGGTACTGATGGCATTGGTTCTGAAGTTAGTGCCTTCTTAACAACAGTGTGTCTCCGTCCCACTAACAGGCTGAACTGTACAAGAAGTGTTGGGGCTTTGGCTTAAATTGCCTCTTTGATTTTATTGCCATCAACATTTAAAAATGTAAAGCACATGGTATCCCCATTTATCTAAGTACCAGTCCTTTCTGTGTGGCGGTTCTAACTGTCAAGTATGTATTATTAACTAGTTCTCCAGCTCCATTTAAACAGAAAAATAATAAACATAACCTTGGCCACAAAGAGCTTATAATTTAAGGCCCTCGTTCTAGTCCGATCCAAATGGGGATATCCTTGCACCTGCATGACATGGGTTACAGTTTCAGCACTATATGTAGTGGGGTTAGAATGCGTAAATATTTATGTATGTAATCAGTGGAACCTTACTTTTGTAGCTGCAGAAATATTGTAACATAATACCGGTATGTAACCATATTCCTGATGAAAAGCTGATGCCTATAGCTATACCATAGGACCCCCCTCGATGATAAATTGCAAAAGTGACGGTCATAGCATCTTATCCTTTGCATATAGCATGATGTATATCCATATCACTTGGAGGGACCGAACCCGGTTGTGACTAGCAGGAGTCTAACGGTGTGATGATGTACCTATGCCCCTGACAGCTAGTAAAATGAAAAAGAGGCGGGTTGGACCATTTGTTGGTTGTGATAGTTGACATTTCCCTGCAGGAGGGCAAGGTGTCTGCTTCCCTTGAAGGAACAGCTTTTAGGCTTGGTCTCATTGGCTGGTGACCTCCTCCTAGTGATAGACAAAAGGCCTGTACAGTGCAGTGTCCTTGCTGTCTCAGCACCCTGGACTTGGATGAAAGTGAGTGGGCTGAAGCTCAGCCCAGGTAAGACAGATGATGCTGGTGTGTCAGTAGTGTGGAGGTAGCTCTTGCCCCTTCACTGAGGGAGGTTTTCAATCTGTGGGTGCTTTTGGATCCCTGACTGACCACCATGGCTGCAGAATGAAAGCACCTTTTTTCATTTATCTCTGGTAAGGCATCTGTCTCTCTGTTGAGTACTCACCACAGTTATAGAATCATAGGACTGAAAGGGACCTTGAGAGGTCATCTAGTCTAGTCCCCTGTACTCATGGCAGGACTAAATATTATCTAGACCATCCATGACAGGTGATTGTCTAACCTGCTCTTAAAAAAAACTCCAATGATAGAGATTCCACAACCTCCCTCAGCAATTTGTTTCAGTGCTTAACCACCCTGACAGCTAGGAAGTTTTTCCTAATGTCCATCCTAAACCGCACTTGCTGCAACTTAAGCCCATTTCTTCTTGTCCTATCCTTAGACGTTAAGGAGAACAATTTTTCTCCCTCCTCCTTGTAACAACCTTTTATGTACTTGAAAATTGTTATCATGTCCCCCCTCAATCTTCTCTTCTCCAGACTAAACAAACCCAATTTTTCAATCTTCCCTCATAGGTCATGTTTCTAGACCTTTAATCATTTTTGTTGCTCTTCCCTGGACTTTCTGCAATTTGTCCACATCTTTCCTGAAACGTGGCGCCCAGACTGGACACAATACTCCAGTTGAGGCTGTTTCAGTGCGGAGTAGAGCGGAAGAATTACTTCTTGTGTCTTGCTTACAACACTCCTGCTAATACAGCCCAGAATGATACTTGCTTTTTTTGCAACAGTGTTACACTGTTGACTCATATTTAGCTTGTGATCCACTATGACCCCCAGATCCCTTTCCGCAGTACTCCTCCGTAGGCAGTCATTTCCCATTTTGTATGTGTGCAACTGATTGTTCCTTCCTAAGTGGAGTACTTTGCATTTGTCCTTATTAAATTTCATTCTATTTACTTCAAACCATTTCTTCAGTTTGTCCAGAACATTTTGAATTTTAATCCTATCCTCCAGAGCACTCCCAGCTTGGTATCATCCTCAGACTTTATAGGTGTACTCTCTATGCCATTATCTAAATCATTGATGAAGATGTTTAACAGAAACGGATCCAGAACTGATCCCTGTGGGACCCCCACTTGATATGCCCTTCCAGCTTGACTGTGAACCACTGGTTACTACTCTCTGGGAACGTTTTTCCAACCAGTCATGGAAGCTATAGTAGCTCCATCTAGGCTGTATTTCCCTAGTCTGTTTATCCTTGCCTCTGACTTTCTGGATGGGACTGTTCTACTGTGCTGTGCATGGGGCTGGCCTTGAAAGGACCGGCTGGCACAGAATGTAGCTGTATTAGCCAGAGGGGACATTACACCAGTGGCTTCCTCTTCCATTCCAAGTGCAATTTGAGATGTTGATATTACTCTATAAAGCTTGTGTGTGGAATGGATCATGGCCACCTAGGAGACCTGCCTCTCTTCCCCCAATGCACCATTGTGAAGACTGACAGCAGCTGGGAGTGAGCCAAGATTGGGGGCATGCAGGCAGATAGGAGTGTCAGGCAGATATGTAGAGGTTAGGGGAGGATAATAGCCCTTCTAGAGCCTCCAAGGGTCTTGAAGCACTTTGCAAAGGTAGTTAAATATTATCCCTGTCTTGCAAGTGGGGAGACTGAGGCACGGGGGGAAAGGACTTGCCCACAGTTGTACATCAAGACAGAGCCAGGGCTAGGACTCACTCTGCTGTCCTTCAGTCCCCTGCTCCAACCACTAGGCCAGTGATACTCAGACTGAGGCTCGCGAGCGGCAAGTGGCTCTTTAATGTGTCTCCTGCGGCTCTTTGCAGCAGGATATTAAAACACGGTGTGATTTAATTATTAACCAAACAGGATACTTTTACTATGTTATTAACCAACGGTAGTTGTTAAAATAATAATACGTGCTCAGTCATTTTGCTGTGAGAATAATATATATAACAAAAATATTTCCCGTCATACTATTTAAATACGAATATACAGTATTCTAGTAAATGAAACAATAAATTCACACCACCGTGGCTCTTATGGGTAATGTTGATTGCTAATTTGGCTCCTGACCCACTAAGATCTGAGTAAAAACCACAAGGA